TGATGAATGCTTTAGTTCTTTTGACGTGTCGAACAAACCTTGTGCCGTTTGGAGATAATTAACCCTTGTAACTTAGAAGTCATGTAGGGTGATGGTATAGGATAGACAAATAAACATTTATAGCAAAAATAAATCAATCATTTGAATCTAATACACTCAATTTAACTTAATATTCTTTAGATAAAAACATATATTGAATTGAATAGAAATATTTATTTGCTAATATTTCGGTTGGCTGAACGCCAACCTTTATCAAGGCATAGCAACGCATTTATTTTGTAAATACATACATTGTATATCCCACAAAATAAATTGTTATGCAATGGCTTTGACATACAGATTGGTTTTCATACAACTGAAATAATTGTAAATAAATATTTTTATTATCAAAAGTTTTAAAATATATGAAATGCTCTATTTTCAAAATGATTTACTTAAAAAACTAAATTGCCCAAAATAATAAGCCAGGATTTTGAAACAATATTTTTTCCAATTATATTCACTCGATTTTTATTCTGTAAGGCATTTATATAATTACTTTTATCTCAAAAATTAAAACTAATAAATAAAATGTATTAACAAATTACTCTGCGAATAATTTTTAAAAATATTTTCTGTATTTATACGTTACCTCAGCTAGAAAGATTTTTTACAACTTTTCGGTGAATAATACACTTATAGAGACAAAACATATAGAAGTAGAAAGTCGTTAATGACGACGGTCGTCTGTTTTTCTGGAGGAGACAGAGGCCATTTATTTAAACTTAGTTATCTCATGTCTTCAATAAAGGTCACTGTAATATCTTTCAGAATTATTGTCTAATCCCGATATATATGCTGGAAGTTACAACTTTTATACAAGCTTTGCCTATGAATGTATATCACAATAAAAACTCTTTTTGCCAAAAATAATTATTACAAATATTATATCAAGTAATGATTCAATTGAATGTTTATTTTACTTTATTATTGTAGACTTTCCTTAATAACCATTTACCCTATTTCTTGTTAATTTATCCAACAGGAATGATGCTCTCTGACTTATATGGAAATTGCTAATGAGAAAATGCATTAATTAATAGCCGAAGGCTGGTTCAGTGCTATATTCTCTTTTGAGAAAATTCATGTTATTCTATCAATTTATTGCCAGGTTGTCACATTCTATTACAATTATCAAAAGGAAGTTTATATTTGGAGTTATTTATATTAAAATATAAAGTAAAAAAAGAGGGGGGTAAGTGGAAGGATGGTCTGAACCGTTGGTTTTCGACCGCTACGACCCGGGTTCGACTCCCGCATTGGGCACTTTTTTTCTGATTAGAAAAATGCTCCAATGGCCCCCGATTCTTTCAAAGGTCCAACCTACCAGCGAGTGCTAGTAACCAAACAGAGCTCTGGCACATTTGTAAGTGCAAAGTCGAACTGCTTTTCACATGAGTAGATATGTGGTGCTCTTATAGTAAAAGCAGTGGCCTACTTCTACCCATCATGATTATCATGGCTTGTACCACGTGTACTAGGGATAAGTAAAAAAGAAAATAATTAAAATAACCCTTATTTGATACAATGTAAATAACATTGCTGATCATTGTTACTATTCCTGTTATTCTGTATGTGCCCTACATTTCTGTTGTGTTGTTTGTGTGCTTGGATAATCTATATAAGACTAAAATATATTTGAATAAAGCTTTCTGTTGTATCCGAATTAAAATGAAGAGATTGTTTTACGAAATTCTAAAATAGGAAACATTCCAAAGAAAAGGTAAAAGCTGTTTATGATAGAATTCTCAATTCCAAAATAATATTATTTGCTATTTCCTCCAATGGAACTATAAATTTTATTTTATTAAATATTATTTTCCAACCGTCACATTTTCTCCATGGCTCCGCGATGACCTATAAATGCGTCCACAAGCTATTTCTGGAAATGGCTATAGACTGTAAATATGTTTACCTTCTGAAAGATTTCCTCAAATATCTCTAATTTATCACAAGGTATTCCAAATATTTTGAAGACATTCCGCAATGGAATAATTCTCAGTCAGTAAATACCATTCTGAGCCCTAACCGAAGATGTCCTAATCAGTTATTTGCATTGTTAATGTTTGTATTGTCATTGCTTAGAAATATGTGCTTTTAAATTTAGTTAACTTATGTAATTTTAATACAGAAGTGTGCAATATTTAAATTATTAACAATGAGAATATACATCAATGGAAAATAATTAAGGAAGTGGAAAGTATTTGGTGTCGCCAGTCGCCTGTTCTTTTAAGGAGACAGAGGTAATATTGCTTACACTTGCTTATCTTGTGTGTCTTCAATAAAGGTCACTATAATATCTTTCAGAGTTATTGTTTGAATCTCGATAGACATACTGAAAGGTACAACTTTCTTAAGTTTGTCATTATATTATTCAAATAATAGCGCTTTATAATAATGAATAATAAATAGTATGGTGATTTTAATTGACTCATCCATTGATGAGCTCTACACCATCAAAAGTCTCAAGCTTTACAAACTTGATACTTTAGTGTGATTGAGTGGAGATAAGAAAGAAGAAGAATGGTGTAATTTTATATAACTTATTTTATTTTAAAATCTATTAATACGCCTTCACACACAGAGTTTAATATTCAGTAGTTAGTTTTTTATTATTCGGATTCACGCGTATATTACGTGTTATGTTCACGTTATATTACAGGATTAAAAATATTCTTAAATTTATCCATCGCATGTGCGACGACATGGCTAAGCCACTAGTAAAAAGTCTATAAAGATAAATATTATTTACATATTTGAAAAGCGTGAATGAATAACTTAAAAAAAGCAACACATGTGACCCTCCATGTTGGGAAAATATTTATTTCGGGCAATGTTATTCTGAATGGAATTTCTAAGCAAACAAATATTGACAGAGCAATATATTGAAATCAATCCGGGCATGTGATTTCGTATTAGAATTCCTGTGTTTCGGAATGTGTCGGCCAAGTTGAATGACCCACGTTGAAATTTCCCTTAATATTTAAACTCGGATTTCTTCCCCACCCTTTAGTTTTTAAATATTTATCTGCTTCACTAAAATGGAAGGAATTTGGAAGAAAAACGCATTATGAATATTTGAGAAGCCCAGAGGACAAAGAAAGCGGAGGGTCTATTCACGTTCGATGACAAAAAAACTCTGGAAGTTAACCCAGGATTTTTTTACTGGCCGCGGGGAACAAACAACAAAATATTGATTCCAGCTAAGTGACAAAACAATTTTAAATTCCATTATTGAAGGAATTTAATATCGGCCAATTATTTTATGCTTCGAAGACAATTACAGGTTGCAGAGGCCGTGAGGCTGAATGAATGATGTTGGCGGATTTATTCCTGTTTCTCCTCCAAACTCGGCTGATATAGCCTCAATACTTGTTCACCGGTATCCCCAGTCTCTTACTTAGCTCGGCAGCTACGTATATTTAGCATATTGTATCAAAGAGGCACCTCTCCCTTTATAAATAAATACCATTCTCTCATAAAATTTTGCTATATTTATATTTTAATGGATTATTTCCACTTTTGTCTGAATATAAATATAGTAGAAAACTATATTGAGAAGTAAGAAAGCGTGGAAGAGTATACAAATGAAATACATACTTTTCCTTCATATGGAATTTGTTTTTGTTTTTTTTTTCCAGAAATTAAAACCGCCATTGTAATGACACATTGCTAGACTAATGAGAATAATTGGTTATTACTATATAAGTTACATCTCCGTTCAAAAGAGAGGCAAAATCTATATGTCATCAATTGGGTCTCACTGAGCACTGGTAGACAAGGGTAAATTACAAATCAAGAAGAATGGTTACTTATGACAATCATTGTTATTATTTTGGCTGAATGGCGGCAAAGTTGAATGAATGCGACCTAACGTACCACGATGGATACTAAAATATACAGGGATACAGGGTTCAACCTATTCCCGAATATTTGTCAAAAATCTCTCACAGGTATTTATCAATAACTTCATTCACCACTACTGATTAATGTGTATCTTAACTTTAACCTAATTTCGCTTTAAAATCAAACCTATCTTTTCACGACCATATCTTGGATTGACAATCTAATCTAGGACCTTACTAATCCATTAATATTAGGATGTATTCAAAGGCGAAGTTCGTTTCTTATCAAACGATAAATATATTGTTAAGAAAAATTCTATTTTATGCAAATAATTCGTTAAAATTCAGTTGATGTTGTTGTCGTGTCCAACGAAGAGCCTCAGATGTTCCCGTGCATCTCTATCACACTAGTCGCAATGTTCACTATCTTGGTTGTGTGAAGCTGCTGCCCTGGGTCCATGTCAATTAAAATTCAGTTTATTATTTATATTGTAGTTAGGTTTGGAGGCAAAGATTCTCACAGACTTTCCGAGAAGGTTAATTGCTATAGTAATCAAGGCATATCTATATAAACAGAAGGTCTGGCAGTTTTCCAGAGTTTGGAGAACAATTTTGTAGGAAAGAAAGAAAACAATTACACAACAACACCTCCTAAACTGTTTCCACACATATCCCATTTATAGAATTAAACATACCTTTCTTCTGGTTTATTTCTCTCCAATTCTCTATTTCCCTAACCTAACCAAACTGCAGGAAATTTCCCAACAAATAATTTATTCCCGTTCTGTTTTTGCCCTACAAATTACTTTAGCAATACGCGATGAGTTTGGTCCAAAATAAAAATTCATTGATTTTCCTTGGTGTGGGCATCTTTACGTTCTTCAGAAATTCTATAATGACCTTACCCCTCTAATTGTCTTTCTCGTGCAAGAGAATAAATAATGGCCTGTGTGTATGCGATGCATTAGAACCGAAACTTTGTTCTACTTGAACCAGTGCATTTAGATTATTCAAATATTTATCTTCAGAATCGTATATAGGGGAAGTTTATATCCGTAGGTTTTAGACTTACAATTAATCAAAATTCTTGATTTAGAACTAAGTCGATCAGTAAAATTTACACTTATGGACAAAACTTAAAGAAGTTTCATATTTTCAAATGCCAGTTGTCTGTTTATTTAAAGGAGACAGGGGAAATTTTGTTCACACTTGGTTATCTCGTGTGTCTTCAATAAGGTCACTGTAATATATTTCATAGTTATTGTCTGAATCCCTATATACATGCTGAAAGATACACCTTCCTTAAGTTCTGTCCATAAGTGTAAATTGCTTACTAGTGTCTCAGGTTAGATCGTAAAGATGATTTACCTAGTTCCCACAACACTCATGTTAGATGTTGTATTTAGTGTGAATTTCAGTTGCCCCATAAGGAGATGCCCCCTTTTTCTTTTTTTCTGTTGTATTTAGTGCACTTATATTTTCAGGTATTGTTTATGCCTATATTTGGGCATTGCATTTGGTTTACTCTAACTTTGCTTAGGCATTGTTTTTTCTCAATGCTAAGTTATGTATGGTTTAATTTTAAATTTGTTCAGGTATTGGATATCCATTGTCTTTGATTTGGTTAAACCTTTTAGAGCATTGGTTTGCTTCCTTTTGTATCTTATAGATCTTTGTCAATGTATTCTTTTTTATTTCATTTTGTACACAGGGTAAATATATTTGGTTTACCATGGCTCTTTGGATATTTATTATCTTTAATTGTCGATATAGGTGTATTAGGTTATGGAATTATATGTTTTAATACCTTACATGCTAGGTATCATTTATATTTGCTGAGGACAGTCGCCTTGATCAGTGAATTATAAAAAGAAGAAAATCGTGACGTTAAGAATTTCTTGAATTCTTACAAGAAACCCTTTGCTTCACGAATTTTCCCCTTTTTACAATTTATTTTTTCATTTGGCTCAACATAAGGTGTCTTCTTCAATTCAAAATTAATTTGTTTATCCATCTTTTTTTGTACAGTTTGACATTGGCTTCTAAGTTGTCATTTACGTTGAAGCGACAAATCTTAAAGAGTCCTGGAAATATTAAACATTGCAGATTGAATAATTCTTCAAAGCCTTAATTATTTATGTATGAGAGAACGTTATAAATCAAATTCAACGTTAAAATACTTTTTATATTTATATGTAAAATAGATACTTCGGCCAGTTAGAGTTTTTTTTTATTTTCTCAACGTTTTGACAAATATCTTTTGACTTCGTCAGGAGAAGTAAATAAAATACTTTATATATTCATAATATTATGAAAGGAGATTCCTAGATATCCTATTCCTGATATAAAATTCAGTATTATCGTTGAATTTTACTCTGATATCATGTGAGATCAGATATTACTTTTAATAGAAAACACGCTCCAGAGAGAGTTAAAGATTTTATCAAGATCTTGCAGGATGTCTGGGCTACTCTGCGAGCCGTCTGGTGGATGAACGGAACAATTTCTGTAATGGATGGCAGGGGCGTTCTATTTACCTGTGTGGCCAGATCAATGGCCTTTACTAATTCATGGCGTTATTTATGAAGTGGGGTTAAAAATGCAGTAATAGCTGGGTTAGATACATCATCGTAAATTATTTTCCCTCCAGTAATGGTTTAACATCTAGTTAGGGATCGTTAACTACGTCATCTGGAATCAGGCTTAACGTTCAACAAAACTGTTTTTCCTTTAGTTCCAGAGCTATAGTGAGATTTGGACTAACATAGCAGAATACTCTTCAAAAATGAATGGACACTTTGGCCTGTTTCTATTGTTGGAATACTACACAGAGTAACAATGGCTATAGATGAGCTCGTGTTTGAAAAGGAATTTGTATGGATATAATGTTTATTCTTTTTGTTGTTCACATGTAGACATGTATATCAAGATTTGTTTTGTATAATTGATATTAATAATAAATAATATTGATGGAAATTTTACCGGGAGGATATTGATCTAAAGAGACAAAGGTCGCCTCTCCCGTCAAAACAGACGTCAAAACTAGACGCTAAATATTGACCGTCACCGCAAACTAGCGGTCTCGGGTCGGTGACAAAGCCACAACACCAGCTTTGGCAAACTGAAAAGCGTCCACCTAGAGACCATGGTTTCGGGCTAATGGCCCTCGTCAGTCTAGGGCGGACTTTATTCCATGAGATCCACACGGGATCTAATGGAATCTTGACAATCCGCCAAAGAGGTGTTTAGCTGCCAAAGTGGCTGGGCCATATCTATGGCTAAAATTTAGATGGAAATTTTACCGGGAGCATATTGATCTAAAGAGACAAAGGTCGCCTCTCCCGTCAAAACACCTATGTTACATAATAATATGTAAAGTTAAATTGGTTAAGTCCTTCTTACTTACTTTAATTACACAACATCTATAAGAAATTTACACATATCTGTGATGGCAATGCCCACTCTACACAAACTTCTTTTACAATTCAGACAACCTAGACGCTATCTACACTAATGTATAGATAAGATACTGATCATCCAGTAGAAGTATAAGCTTGAGTAGCGAGAAGAGGGTAAATGGAAATTCAAAGGTAATATGAGAAATATAAAAGACGTTGTAATAGGAATTTGTAAGAGTAAAGAGATGCAAATATAATATTTTATCAAAACTGTGTGTGAGTGAAAAATATCGAATAATTAAAAAAATAATTATATATTATCGAATTATTGGAAGTTATAATAAATATTTTGATCCAAAATAAGCGTTATAATATATATATTCTAGCCACAGGTATATGCATCTAAGTTGACAATACATTTGAATAATAAACAAAATGGCTTCCAAAAATGAGTTTCTTGTTTTATTTTATATTTATTCAATTTTCATAGATAAACATGTTAACAAATATGAAATACATTTGTTTATTATTATATATTTTATATTATTGAGAATTAAAATGTATATATCTGTGAATATTTATTGTTTATTATTAATGTTTTTTTTTTAATTTTGTTTGACCGTTGACCACGTGTCATGCAAATGTATAAATTGTAAGATTGTGAAAATAAAGTAGCTCAGAGTATCAGTGTGCTTGCTTGTGCTTCCGTGTTGCCGTTGGCCGGAAAAGAATTCACGAGATAGACGGCAGTAGAGTGGAGCTTTATAGGAGCAAAATACAGTCCTCTAAGTGGAGATAACATCTATAATTAATAGAATTTATCAATTATATACAATACGAATCATAAACAATCAAAGCCTTTAAAACTTCAACTTTTAAACTACGTAAAAAAGTAAAAATTCATAGATAAACATGTCAAAAAATATGGAAGACAATTGTGTATATTATCATATATATATGTGATGATTTAAGACCATGGAATTGTTGTAAATAGTCTCAATATCCACTACCACATGTTCCACCCCATGACTGTATACAACTTCTTATGTACTGCACATAGAAAGCCTCAACTAACATCAATCTGTACCGCGTAAGAATCTAATAAAGTATTGCAACTGTACAGATAGAAGGAATGGAGAGAGACAGGAGAAAGTTAAGGTTAAAACAAATCAGGTTTAGGACAGAAGTCGAAGCAAGGCCTAGCAAAAGAGGCTTAAAACCAGCCCAACTATAAATAATTTACAAGTCAATACTTCCTGACAGGACAGGGCGTATCTGATATCGCGGAAACCATAAAAGCTAAGAGTAACGCCCCGAATTTCCGGAACAAGACCGGACGTATTCTTCCGTCAAAGAGATAAGCCAGGCCCAATCAGAAGACAATACCTAAGTAGGTCAACCAATAGCCCACTACCACGTGAAAAAGTCCCACCAATTAGGAAAGAATCACCTAAATAGGTCAGCCAATTAAAAAGCAGCAAGGTCGTGGTGTTAAATCGAGGCCCTAGAATTGTCAGTCTTCGCTTGGATTCCAACGGTAACACTTGCTCTAAAATCTCTCTCTCCTCATCCCATTCCTTCTTGACGTCAGACGTTATTTCACCTTTGGCCCAGCTGTGTCGCCTTCCACCACGACTGCACGGTAGAGTTGACATCGAGGTTCGTCTAGCATCAGGTAACACTGGTCCCAGAGGTCCCAAGATATCACAGACTCCCCCGTAACGAAGAGTCGACAGGATAGTGGACGCCAAGGTACAAGTAAGCAAATAGACCACTGTCTGTACAGAAAGATGGAACAGGGAAGAGAGGAGGACTCAAAGGAGCCCATGAAGACCGATCCCGACTACGAAAGTGGCGGAAGCCCCACTTTTCCGAAGAAAGAAAACACTCTCGGTAGGACGCAGGAAATTGTCCCCAGTCAGGAAGACGTCACACCCCCGCCGCCGGTGTCAGATGTCTTAGGGAGGTTGACGACGACGCTACATCAGCTCTCTGCCGTGACCGGACATCGCGAGAGGTGGAATCGCTACGATGGTTCGTACGAGGCGCAGAGCTTCTTCACCAACTACGACGCCCAAGCAGATCGGGCCCAACTACAATACTCTACAAGACTGAGAAAGCCAGCAAACCTCCTGCAAGCACCCCTCCGAGTTACCAACACGCGAGCGTATGTTACCTGCTCCCCCGACCATCTCTAAACCACGAGCCCAGCGCAAACAATGAACTCTGACCTTCCCAAAGATCCTCCAACCATGGCACAAGACCAGGACTGTCCCGACATACAAGACAGCACAACAGTAGGTTCCTCCATACATAACTTTTGTTGAACTATTGCTCGTTCGAGCTGAACACACTGTCCAATAATGTAAACCTACTCTACTACTTGATACAGAAGCATCTATCGCTATAATTAGGCAGAATACTTTAAAATAATAGAAATCAGTTTGTAAAAGAAAAATACCTGTCCATCCATTTAACTTAACTATTAACGCCATATCTAACAATGTTTTCACCATAGGTTATATCTTTTTAAACGTAAAAATAGTTAACATAACGCAGAATCTAAAATTCCATATTATAGATACCCCCTTGCCTTTTATCATATTATCCCTTAACTCCATAAAAAGATTTCTACTAATTATAAACTGTTCTCAGCTACTCCTGTATCAAGATAATGTACCTCTACCAACTACCTTGTACAAATTCACCTCGTGCAAGCAACACGTGTCCCATGGACAGGTTAATACAACTGTCCCATTTTCTAAATTTTCCCCTCCTGGAACCGAGTTGCTCACACGTGGTGAACTCCAACACTCTTATTTAACCTCATTATAATGTTCCTAATCCCATTTTCAACGCCCCTATGTCCTTTTCTTTCATATCTTTGGACAGAAGTAACTTAAATCACAGCCGTCCAAAACTATTCCAATCGTTAAATTCCCACATAACTACACTCCCTCGTACCTTCCTTTTACACGCATAGTTAAATATCGACAAATCACTCTCAACAAAATAAACAACACCCTCTCACATCACTTTTTCTAATTAACAAATTTTTAATGCGCGACTTCACACCCAAATCTAATTTCGAGCCACAAAAGCTTTATTACGTCGCCCTACTAAACACACACAATCTTTTTTTTTTTCTCACATTAAACGTGTCATATCCACTAACAATATAAAAATTATCGATATGTTCGTACAACCAACAACCATGACTTTAGTAAATTTGTTATTCTTAGTGTAACAGGTTAGATTTTGTACAAAACAAAGACCTCACGTGACACCTTTTCATTTACAATTTTTTCGCTTCGTGTCACAGCGCCACACCACTAAACTCTTTCAATTTTCAGGCCAAAGACGCCTTCATCACGCCTGTGACACATTTATTTAACCACACATTGTCCACGTAGATAGTCGCAATTTCATTCAATTCTAACCCGATATCCATGAATAACATTTTTACTAAGTCCGCAAAATATCGAAACACAACAACCAGTCGATTTAATATCAACAGATACAATATCCGGATTTTCGAAATACAAACACAAATCTAACAAATGCTTGAACACACGGAATAATTCAACCTCTGTATATCTCTATGTCAATCCCATAACGCTTGTCACCAAACGTGACAAATCAAAACGCTTTTGCGTTTACAATTATAGAAATAAAATCTCCGAACGTAGTTCGAATTAACAAATCCAATAAGTTGGAAGAAACAAGCAGCCTCGCAAAGGCCATCTGACCTAAATCCGGAATCACATTAAAAATAGGTTCGCTCCCCCTCGCCCCCCCGAGCAAACAAACAGCCGACATCTTGTTACATCCGTCACCACCCCGATGTCACTCTAATGGATTTTCGCTACCTATTAAATTAAACATTAGTGCGTACATTTACTAACAAATCTGTTCACTAACATTCTCTCGCCCTCAATTAACTTGTCAACTTAACATCGACACTTAGATCCAAGGACAACATTTTACTTACAAAAATCACACACACCCACATAAGTTTAAAAAAAAAAAAAAAAAAAAAATCGACAACATTAGGACTCAGTTAGTTTCACAACTGGAAACAATGTGATCCACGAGTCGCGTCAAACATAAAACAAATTCGATAAGTTAGAAAAACTTAGGCCAACAAGACCAAAGATATCAATCGAGGACAATTTAAAGCTCTCTCTACCCATCCTAAAAAAAAAAAAAAACAGGTACATTACGTTTGGCCTACAACTTTCCATTCTTTCACGATATATAATTTCTATATATAATCTTACTTGCTCTTCCTTCTCGATGAACATTTTTTAAAAAATTTTCATTTTAATATCCTTTATATAATCATTATATAGCTCTTATAATTGTTTTTTTTTACGTCAACCAATTAGTTTAGATTATTGTCTTTTTTTTATTTTTCTTTATCAAAACTTATTTACTTTTGCTTTATGACTCTATTTTATAATCAACTTTATATTTTATCTTTCATATCATATCTAATAATCTCAAGTTTATATTTCATGTTTATATCACTAATTTGCATTTATCATTTTATATTTTTTCTCACTTTATAAATTAGATGTTATTTACATTGTTTCACCTTCCGCTACCATGTCATGGTGGCCTGCTATTATAAAAAGAATGGATAATGATGATGTTCCTTCAGATTTAATACGGATCATAAAATCTTATTTGAATAATGAAAGGGAGGTGAAATTTACATACGAATCAGAAACTTTTTATAAGAAACTAACTAAAGGATGTCCACAGGGTGGACCTTTATCTCCACTTCTATGGAATATTTTGCTAAATGATTTGTTGATAAATTTTGATTCAATGAATGCAGATATTATATGCTATGCAGACGACGTTACAATAATTTGCTGGAATAAGACTATTGAAGGACTAAAAACCGCAAGTGAATACACCTTAAATTATGTGATCCAATGGTGTAATAGAAATAAATTAACGATCAGTACAGAGAAGACTAATATGCTATACCTACATAACAGACAAAAAATACCTATTAAGGTTAATAACAATATAATAATGCCGGTCAAGCAAGTAAAAATTCTGGGAATGAAATTTTCTAATCACAAATGGAAAAACAAAGTTAACTTTACACCGCATGTTAATGATATTCTGTGTAAGGCAGGACGTATGAAAAATTTATTGTGTTCACTAAGTGGCAATATGTGGGGTTTAGACACTGAAAAGAGGTTAACTTTATTCAAAACAATCATTAGGCCTGTACTTACATACGGTTCTGAAATTTGGTTCAAATATTTAAACAATCGTTGTAAACAAAAACTGAACTCCATGCAGTACCAGATCATTTTATGGGCAGTTAGAGCATACAAAACCACTTCATCAAACTGTGTGCATAGCTTGGCAAAAATTCCACTCCTAACAGATTATATAGAATCCAGAATAATCAAATTTGATCTAGCTCAAATGTCCATTGAAGATCTAATTACTTACGAACCCCATGCTCCAAGTATAGTCAAATCATTCTTACACGCAAAAATGAATGAAATTTTTGAGAACACTAATGAAATTTTCAGAAGCTTTTTCGTATTAGAAATTCCAAGATTTTTCCGTCCAAATTTTTATAATATCCAATTCATTACAGATCATGGCAATTTTGGGAAATTTTTGGCAACTATCGGCGCCGTGAAGGAACCAGGATGCTTCTGCGGAGGTGAAATTCAAGACGCGAGACATCTACTTCTGGAGTGCCCAATTTTCCGGGATTTTAGGGAAAATAGATTTGGTCGTATTGGACAGCTTGATGAATTTGTAGACAAAAAAGAAAAGTATAAAAATTTTGATCAATTTTGTAAATACATATACAACTTTCTCTTGAATTGGAAAAAAGAGAAGGAATCTTAGAAAAAAAAAAAAAAGAACTGCGATGCTTGCTCTGTGTGTTTTGCTTTGTTGTTTGTTTTTCTCTTTGGACAATTTTCTTTAGTTAATTTATGTAAAATAATGAATTGAACAGGATTGTATATAGCCGAATTGCTGTAATGCAGTGAAATGTATTGGCGCAAATATCCCTGAGTTTGGGATATCGCGTTTCATGATGTTAATAAAGTTAATTAATTAATTAATGTCAATGCTATCGAGTATATTATTGCTCATTATTTTTTTTTTTTCATTTAATATTTTCACTTTCTATTACCCCTTATATACTGCTGTAGTGTGTTAATCTTTGTATCATATCATCACTATTTTTACTTTTTTTTTAAAGATTACTTTGCATTTAACTTCGCAATTCTATTTTCGATTTTTCAAATCCTTTAACGCTATATGCAAAGCCTTACTTTCGCAATTTCATATCTCAATGATATATTCTTTTATAATCAAACTAAAAATCACGATCTAAAAACAGGGCAATTTTCAATAACCTCTTAAACAACCACTTTAAAGGTTACTTCGTAAGAATTACTAACATTCCTTTTCCGCAGGAACTTTTAACTCCTTCGCAGGCTAGACTTGACCTACTTTGATTTCGTAATTAACAATCTTGACACATCGTCCCCCAGATTTACCTTATCCCAACTTCTGGCTTGGATACGTGCAAATTGTATTTTTTTTTTATTCCAGGGCACTCTCATGCCACACGCTGGCACATTTTTTTTTTATTATTTTACTCTTTTTCTCGCTAAGCCCCTGACGACTATAATTAAAACTTTGATTTCTGGTCACTGATCTTCGCCCTCATTTATCCTGCATGCGTACGTCTTAACGACTAATTACTAAAACCCATAACAATCCCCTTATCTTACTTTTCGATTGTGGTACTGTAACTTTATTAGGTCCTTAAATTTACATGTGAAACATGGCCTAGGTTTTCCGCGCCGTGCACATTAAATGGTTTGGGACTTGAGTCAAAGTGACCTTGCCTCAACCAAGTAATAACTAACCCCTCAACCCTTTCTAACGCCCATCACGAAAAGATCATGATTTACCCATCCAATCATTTATATTTTTACCTATAATCATTATATGTTCCCTATTAAATATTTTATTCATATTTTTATTTTTACTTGTATGTTTAATATTAGTTGTTTATGTTTTATTATCTCTTATGGATATACAGAAATCAACCCCATGTTATATACCAACTCATTTCAATTAATTTTTAAAAATTACTTCCTTAATAACAGTCTTCCTATTCCGCTCTCTTAAATCCCTCCATATGAACCCTCTCACATCCGGGGCCATCTGTGATGATTTAAGACCATGGAATTGTTGTAAATAGTCTCAATATCCACTACCACATGTTCCACCCCATGACTGTATATAACTTCTTATGTACTGCACATAGAAAGCCTCAACTAACATCAATCTGTACCGCGTAAGAATCTAATAAAGTATTGCAACTGTACAGATAGAAGGAATGGAGAGAGACAGGAGAAAGTTAAGGTTAAAACAAATCAGGTTTAGGACAGAAGTCGAAGCAAGGCCTAGCAAAAGAGGCTTAAAACCAGCCCAACTATAAATAATTTACAAGTCAATACTTCCTGACAGGACAGGGCGTATCTGATATCGCGGAAACCATAAAAGCTAAGAGTAACGCCCCGAATTTCCGGAACAAGACCGGACGTATTCTTCCGTCAAAGAGATAAGCCAGGCCCAATCAGAAGACAATACCTAAGTAGGTCAACCAATAGCCCACTACCACGTGAAAAAGTCCCACCAATTAGGAAAGAATCACCTAAATAGGTCAGCCAATTAAAAAGCAGCAAGGTCGTGGTGTTAAATCGAGGCCCTAGAATTGTCAGTCTTCGCTTGGATTCCAACGGTAACACTTGCTCTAAAATCTCTCTCTCCTCATCCCATTCCTTCTTGACGTCAGACGCTTTTAGTGGAATCTCTGTTTGTTTATTTCACCTTTGGCCCAGCTGTGTCGCCTTCCACCACGACTGCACGGTAGAGTTGACATCGAGGTTCGTCTAGCATCAGGTAACACTGGTCCCAGAGGTCCCAAGATATCACATATATTATATCATAAATAGAATTTATCAATTATATAGAATAAGAATCATAAAAAATCAAGACCTTTCAAACCTCAACTTTTAAATTACTTCAAAAAGTTAAAATATCAGAGATAAACATGTTATAAAATATGAAACGAATTTATTGTTTATTGTTATATATATACTTATCACATAATTAATCAATTATATAAAAATAAAAATAACATCAACGATCAAGACCTTTCAAACTTTAACTTTAAAACTACGTCAAAAAGTAAATATTTCAGAGATAAATATGTTATCAAATATATAACAAATTTAATGTCTATATATATATATATTTATCAGATAATTAATCAATTATATAAAAATTATAAGAAATCAAAACTTTCCAAAAGTTCGGCTGTCACGCCAAGAACCAATCAAAACAAACCTCACCAAAAGAACAAACATCGACCGTCTGTTGTTCCGGATTAAATTTAATTCAAGTCGCTGAACCGGCAAACTGAACCTCAATATGTCATTTCCGGTGATTACGTCGGCTGTGACGGAGTTTTAAATAAAATTATCATCCAGCAACACTGGTCTTTGTTGGCTAAGATGGAGTTCCGAAAGTTGTTCTGAAATATTTAAGACGCAATTATCTTTAATGGAATTTTTATTTTTTTTCCTTCAGCGTTTCTTTCTTATCTGGAATAGAGGTTTAATATTTCATAATAGGAACTCTATTTTGTACCCTTTGAAAGCCAAAAAATAATTTCCAGGTAATCTGTGTTAATGGGTAATCATGGTTGGCTAGTATCCCAATGGGTGTCGGATGGTATTCTGTTTTTATAGAACAATGAGGATAAATAAAATATATATCTAATGGACATCAACTGTGAGTGCTTATTTGAATAAAGATTTCTTTATCAAATGTTTAAAAGTATATTAAGAAATGGTTATGTTTGCACCCCTTCAGGATGAGACAATTTATTTCAGGCAAGATCAAACTATATAGGATAAACAAAAGATAAGCAATGGGGAAGTTTACAAAGTAGCAAAATATGAATATAAAAAAATTATATTCTGTTAAATTAAAAAAATAAATACTTTGTGACAATATTCACCGATACTGTAGCTGCATTCTTTTAAAAATGTTTATCTGGTTAACAGGATGATGTTTTTAGTACAAACGCACACGTACACAGACACAAAACCCACATATGCATACAAAAACACAGACGAACAAACCCAAGCACGAACATACACACAGACACTCACTCAGAAAACACATACACTCGTGAGCACATGAAAACACACACGCATAAACACATATTCGTACACACATGCAAAAAAACACCAAAAATTGTACACACACAAAAATACACACAGACTCAAAAACACGCTCGCAGAAAGACACACACATGAAAACAAACAAACAGACATATATTACCCTTCTCCCAGAGAACCAGAATATTTATTCATTCCAAGTTGGGCCAAGAGTCGCGAGCATCCATCACGACAAAGTGGACCATCTCTCACCTCGCTCTTTTATTGTGAAATAGATCTACTGCCGCACTACCAGGCGTCTACACCCTCGCGGTAGTGCATATGTCCTCAACACGGATAGACTTACATGCCTTATTTATTCCAGGTAGATCATTCCTAATATAGGTAATACCTACCTCTCAATCGTGTTCCTCTAAGGCAGTTAATATTGTTGTTGTCGTGTCAAATCAAGAACCTCAGATGTCTCCATGCATCTCTATCACAACAGTCGCAATTTTCTGCATCTTTGGTGTGTAAAGCTGCTGCTCTGGGTCCATGTCAATTTTTTGCAAGGCTGCGGCATGATAATTATGTGTAGATAGTTGTTAGTTCCACACCAGAGCAGTTGTACTGTAGGTTCTTGAAGGCAATTGAAGTGTGCGCTGATTAGAATTGGCTCAGCTGTACATTCATTGCGAACAGTAATGCGCTGGTTCCACATTACCTTCAACATCCATATGCTGTTGACCTAGCAATAGATTCATCTGTCTTTAGAACCTATTACCTACAATCTATTCATAACAAACACTTCAACTATATTTTATTTTCTATTCAACTTTACAGAGAAATTCTTCCGAATCCAATATAAGAATGTAAATATAAATGGAAGCTTGAATACCGTTTCTAAGATTCAACCCTTCAGTGTAGCATATATAAGTAGAATCGCCCGATATAATATTATAGTTCTAAAAAGCGGGCTGGTAGATTAAATTGGAGAAAGGGCTAGGAAGGTTCACCACTGATGAGCTGAGTCTTCTCAATATATTTCCATTGCAGTAAGGACAGTACCAAAATACCACTGGTAACAGTTTGGTCTAAGTGTAAAATAAACATTTGTGCTAAATGCTTTCATTTCTTATATAAGTAGATGGGCTTATGACCCTATAATGTAAATATATATTAACACGGAGACTTTGAAAGATGAATTTTAAATATTACGTAGCTTATGTTTGGAAAAAGTTAACATTATTCTCAATGTGCATCAAGTAACATAAATATGTATTGCTATCCCGTAAAAATAACCTTAAAATTTCATTAAAGGCACAAATTAACTCATAAAAATCAAGAAGGTGAAAAGTCTTTGGTCGTCAATTTTGTTCACCTTTGGTTATCTCGTTTGTCTTCATTAAAGGTCACTGTATATCAAATATCTTTCAGAAGTATTGATTGAATCCCGATAGGCATGCTAAAAGATACAATTTTCTCAAGTTTTGTCCATGAGTGTATATTAAAATATGATAATGAAGTTATTCGAAACATATTAATAAATGTTAAAAAAGATTTATAACAAACCATACAGATATATTAGGGATTATTGATTGGTACATGGTCAAGATAGAGTGGGTGTTATTTCTATGTAAATATTTGACTTTAGGAAAGTGGACCTACACTACTGGAATATATATATAGGTGGAGAGAAAGTGTTAGAGATAGATTCTCTGAACTACCCAGAATTTCAATAATCGAATATACAATTTGAAATAGATTAAGTTGACTGTACTGGACAATATGCTACTGAATTCCACAACGGTTCGCTACCATTGAAGTGGGGGTGTTGGTGGAAGGATGGTCTAAACCGTTGGTTTTCGACCACCACGACCCGGGTTCGATTCCCGCATTGGGCACTTTTTTCTGATAAAAAAATCTCCATTGACCCCCGATTCATGAAAAATTCCAACCCCACCAGCGAGTGCAAGTAACCAAAAGAGGCTCTGGCACATTTGTAAGTGCAAAGTCGTATTGCTTTTCACATGTGTAGACATGTGATGCATTTACAGTAAAAGCAATCGCCTACTTCTACCCAACATGATTATCATGTCCTGTAAAATCCTAAATAATTGCAATTAGATATTCAATGAATGAAAGGAAGAAAAAATTGCAACGAGTTTCTTTATTCTGAATGTTGGCGAGCTTTCAGGCGTTAGCCTATCTTCAGGCCGATTTCGCAAAAAAATATATATATATACATATACAGTATATATTTTTTGCGAAATCGGCCTTAAGATAGGCTAACGCCTGAAAGCTCGCCAACATTCAGAATAAAGAAACTCGTTGCAATTTTTTCTTCCTTTCATTCATCATGTCCTGTACCACGTGTACTAAGGATAATAATAATAAAAAAAAAAAAACATTGCAGTTCTCGTTCAAAGCTTAGGAGATACTGTAAATCAATCTGGTTATCAGAACCCATTAGAGATTTTGAACAATAAACTCTTATGATGGCCATCTGTTATGAAAATTCGAAACTATTATAGACGCGTATGATTTTTTTTTCCAACTTTTAAAAATTAAACAATTTCTACTTCCCTTACTGCAATGGAAAATTTAATGGGAGGGCCTGGCTCATCAGTGGTGAACCATCCTAGCGGTTTCGCCAGCTTAATCTTCCATAGTTATGTCCATAGATTGCTTAGGCTTTGCTTAAGTACGATGAGCAGGATTCTACCTACAGTGTCGGATATACACACATGAACAAAACTTTAGGAAGTTGTGCCTTTTAACATGTATGTGTATTTTAACACTGAAGTTATTACAGTGACCTTTATTGAAGACATACGAGATAACCAAGTGTGAATTAAATTGCCTCTATGTCTTTAAAAAACAGATGACTATCGATATCAAAGACTTTCTACTTCCTTATGATCTGTCCATGAGTGTATATGCATATTCCAATATCGCTTTAGAGCTCTAAAAATATGTAAGGTTGCTTAAACATGTGAAACTACTGGGAGAGTTCATCAATGAAGAGTCAGGTCCTTCAAATCTATCCTTCCATCGCAGTGAGGAGAGTATAAAGTTTGTTTTATTCAGAGGAGAAATAAATAATTTAAAATATTCCTAATACACTTTCTATCTTTTTTACAGCAATGGAACATATTGAGAGGGTCTTGCTCATCGTTGATTTCGCTTGTTAAATCTACCAGAAATTATTGAAATAAGTGACTCTTCGGCTTGAAAAAAGTTTATTTTCTCGATATTTCGACAGAATTATTTTATCCTCGTCAAAAGAATGGTTAAAGAATCATTCGGCAAGGGCTTATAAATGTTTCTGAGGTTGTAGAGATGCTTTTACAACCTTAAAAACATCTATAACGCCTTGCCATATGCTTTATATTTATTTTTCCTAACGAAAATGAAAGATTTTTGTAGAAACGTCGAGAAAATAACTTTTTCTGGCCGAAGTGTCTCTTATTTTAAGAAATATGAATTCTGGCCAGGCAACCTTTGAAAGAATCTACCAAAAGTATTAAAATTCGAAACTATTATAGACGCGTATGATTCTGTTTGAAAATAAACAATTTATACTGTTCTTACATTATGGATTATTTTTAAAAAGAATTATACGCGTCTATAATAGTTTCGAATTTTGATAACAGATGGCGCGCTAATGTATCATACCAAAAGTATCTTGTTTTGAATTTGTCTGTTTTACTTATAGGGACAGAAATTTCACAGAAACTTCAAGCTGAAGGTGGAGATGTACTCCACCTGTCTGTAACTCCGAGCTTCTAGAGTTGTAACAACCTTTGTTCCAATATCTCGGATCAATACAGGCGCCAGATAAAAACCGGTGCTGATTTCAACCAATTATTTTGCCATTAGTTGATTCTGTTTTCCTCACTTTTTCCACGAGCTCTGATAGCCATTTAGATCAAATCAGGCGGAAATACTAGAAAATAATTATCCTTCAGTTGTGTTAAGATGTTCACTTTCCATTTTTTATATTGGAGAGACGACATTTTTTACCTTTTCTACAATAAATAAGAAAGTGGTAATTCCTTGTTTCATTCACGACGGAACATATATATCGTGTCTTTGTTTTTTATCAAGTTTTTATTATATGTAAATACAGATTTAGAATATTATCACAGTTCAGACTTTATATATATATATGTGTGTGATTTCTCAGAAGGCCTCTTGGACCAATGTTTTGGTCGTTGAGGTACAGTCTTTACCACGCTGACAAGGGACAACAGCCCGAAACGCCTTAATGGTTCAAATATTTTTATTTATCAAGAAATTGGGTTGGATAAATATCATGGAACAAACTTAAATCATGTTTGGTTGGTATTTTTTCCACTATAGGTGCTCTGCCATCTAAAATGCCCATGAGATGGTCAAGATTTTGTTTTATGTATTCCAGGTTTCATCTATACACCAAATACACTCATGGACAAAACTTAAGGAAGTTGTGCCTTTCAACATGTATATCGGGATTCAGACAACAACTCTGAAATATACACTCATGGACAAAACTTAAGGAAGTTGTGCCTTTTAGCATGTATATCGGGATTCAGACAATAATTCTGAAATATACACTCATGGACAGAACTTAACGAAGTTGTGCCTTTTAGCACGTATATCGGGATTAAGACAATAACTCTGAAAGATACACTCATGGACAAAACTTAAGGAAGTTGTGCCTTTTAGCATGTATATCGGGATTAAGACAATAACTCTGAAAGATACACTCATGGACAAAACTTAAGGAAGTTGTGCCTTTTAGCATGTATATCGGGATTAAGACAATAACTCTGAAAGATACACTCATGGACAAAACTTAACGAAGTTGTGCCTTTTAGCATGTATATCGGGATTAAGACAATAACTCTGAAAGATACACTCATGGACAAAACTTAACGAAGTTGTGCCTTTTAGCATGTATATCGGGATTAAGACAATAACTCTGAAAGATACACTCATGGACAAAACTTAAGGAAGTTGTGCCTTTTAGCATGTATATCGGGATTAAGACAATAACTCTGAAAGATACACTCATGGACAAAACTTAAGGAAGTTTTGCCTTTTAGCATGTATATCGGGATTAAGACAATAACTCTGAAAGATACACTCATGGACAAAACTTAAGGAAGTTGTGCTTTTTAGCGTGTATATCGGGATTAAGACAATAACGCTGAAAGATACACTCATGGACAAAACTTAAGGAAGTTGTGCCTTTTAGCATGTATATCGGGATTAAGACAATAACTCTGAAAGATACACCCATGGACAAAACTTAAGGAAGTTGTGCCTTTTAGCATGTTTATCGGGATTAAGACAATAACTCTGAAAGATACACCCATGGACAAAACTTAAGGAAGTTATACCTTTTAGCATGTATATCGGGATTCAGACAATAACTCTGAAAGATACACCCATGGACAAAACTTAAGGAAGTTATACTTTTTAGCATGTATATCGGGATTCAGACAATAACTCTGAAAGATACACCCATGGATAAAACTTAAGGAAGTTATACCGTTTAGCATGCATATTGGGATTTAGAAAATAACTCTGAAAGATATTACAGGGACTTTTATTGAAGACATACGAGATAACCAAAGTTGAACAAAATTGCCTCTGTCTCCTATAAAAAAAAATTAAAAACGAACAATCTGCGAAATCAAAGAATTTCCACTTCCTTAAGTTTTGTCAATGAGTTTATTTAATATTAAAATAAAGAACCATTGGCGATTAAATAGTTTATTTTTATAAAGAAAGATGCCAGGATCTACAATTACTGTAAATATTAAAGGGTCAGTACTGTTCAGTAAATGTACAAAGAAGAATATAGGCAGAAGATATCTGATACTCAGGATTAAGAATTAAGATATCTGAACGAAGTTTGAGAATGGGATCTATTCACTATCATTTCGATGCCGGTTCTGCCTACATCCTTCCTCTTCTTTGTGCCCACTGATTAACCATGCCAGGGAGACGTTTAATCTCTGAATAAATATACCTCTATATGTCTTTGTATGGGATTTATACATGTATAAATGGATTGGATATTATAATATTATCTTGTCAATTCATTTATAACATAATCCTGTCCGACACGTTATCGGAACACTTTATAAAATCAAGATTTGAAGGATTATATATTGTAACAAAGTATTTATTAATTTTATTATTTTTATTAACAGAGTGGTCATTTTATGTTTATATTTTGCTACTCTGTAAAATTCCCTCGTGGCTTATCTTTTGTTTATCATTCATAGTTTCAGGCATACTTTAGCCACGTTTTAAAAGTTAAAGAGAAAACGAAAAT